GAACCTCTCTCCCCCTCCAATCCCAAATTAGTAGACATGTGTACAAAATAAAAGGGCAATGAAATTAAATCAACACTTTCCATTTCAATGATGTTCTGTTTCATCTTTCTCTGCCTTTACTAGATCTAGATCTACTACTACTGATGCTTCCAATTCAGTCTCGATCTACATAAAACTTGTCACTGGCCCAAACAGACACTAATTCACAAAGCAGCAAATTATAGAATTTGATCAACCAAACTTCCATCAAAAACATTAACAATTTAACGAAGTGACTATTTCTCCGAACGCTTGGGAAGATAAACTTGAACTCTATTTCTCAGAACAGTTTCCATTCTCGAGTTTTGTTGGTTATTTACGTACAAGAGTTCGGCGTCATCTTTCATTCTGCCATTCTGCGAGGACTGGGAAGGAGAAGCATTTTTTTAAAATTTGAAAATGCCTTCAAAAGGTACTGCGAGAAAACAAGACTGCTTGACTTTGACTTAACCTATTGTGCATTTCGTCACCCCTAAAGGAAAAACTAAATGACAAAAAAAATCCCTCCACGCCCCCCCCCTTCACACCTTATACACACACACACACACACTCACACGGGGCACACACACACACACACACACACACACAGGTCACTCCATTCGCCTTCGCAAATAATAAAAACATCTCTAGAACGGAAACCATTCGGAGAAATAAATTTAGAGTTCAAGTCAAGTTTATTTCCCAGAGTGTTCGGAGAAATAGAGCCGGCCTAAAAATTAAACAAAGAAAAAGAAATTAAAACATACCATGTCCAAAACAAAGTTGGTGAGCGTTGCCAAGTATTGGTAAAGGATCTGGTCCCGGAATGTTGTCTATGAGTTCCTTCACGCGCTTGTCCCGATAGAAATAAGCTAAGTAAATAAGCCCGGCTAGAAGGCCAACAATACAGGCAGCAAACATTTTGACACTGTGTAGGCTAGATCTAGATTTCTAATCGATTCGAAGTTCTACCAGATTCTAATAAAAACCAACCTGTCCTTTTTAGAGCACACGGAGCTTTTTAGTCAATCAAAGCTACCGCATTAGAATAATACAAGAATTAGATCTAGATTTCTAGATGCTGATCCAGCCGCGCACAGCACGCACCAACCTTTGCTCCGCTATCTGTAACTAACACTGCATCCTAGGCCTAGCACTACAAGTCTTCCTTAGCTGTGCGTCCTTAGCTAGGCTACATTGTTTTATATTTTATATTCATGTCCACTATAGCTACGAGTACGCAGTGGCGTCCCCTGCCGTGTCACGTGACAGCTATTTTTAGTATTGTTAGCTTCGATAACATTATTTTTCATGGACGAAGCAGCATTTAATAGAACTCAATAAGCACTCAGCTTTGGAGTTACTTGTTTTATGTGTTGCAACGACAAATAATGATTGTTTTGATTCGCATAGGTGTAATGAAAAATATAGTAAAAAATAATAATGCGTTGAAATACAACATGAATGATGTCCACAATTCTTAAGTAAGGTTTCCCGACTGCTAGGGACTACAACACAAAGTAGGATCGTCATTCCTTGGTCGCCAAGGCAGGGAGGGAGGGATCCTCTCGAGAGTAACTAACAGTACTTACTGATATACATCATACACTGCGTGTCACTGACTCATTATACTGCCCGTTTTAGACGATTAGCATGGGCATCTGTGTCTGTGTGTATGATCTGAACTCTGATTCTGAATGGATCTTCAGTCAATGTAACGTTGATATTGATGACTGAAAATACGAAGAGATTCGTTTCGTCAATTTGGAAATGTCAAAAGAAGATACCCATGACCCGGTGAATAGGAGGAGCAATGGAGGAAGGGACTCGGATCTCGTTAAAAATGTTCACAAAACTAGATCAAGATCTAGAAATGAAAACGACTTCCCAGAAAAAGACGAAAGTGGTCTGAGCTCCTTGAAACCGCAATCGCAAGGAGACCAGCTTGATGCTGGGGGCACTTGTCCGGAATGGAAGGCACTAGATATCCAAATCGGAGGTCACAAGTTAGGTAAGTTGATTAGGCCTATTGAATTAATTATACTCAGAGGTGAGTGGTTTTGAAATCTAACCTCTGCTTTTGAAAGTGCTCGAGGGATGCTCCAGTAGTGAACATTTCGTGAATAGCCAGAAGAGTGAAGTTAATTTTCAACCAATGATGCTTGCAGCTCTGATCATTTTGTCAGCTGAGAAAAAAGTTGTTTAAAATTACTTGAGTCATTTATTGTTACATGTCGGGGAGTTGTGTCATTGATTGATTGTGCTAATTACATTGATGAATAGAGCTGAGGGTTGAAATAAAAGAAAGGCTGTCGTTATTCGGACTCGAGTCCGAATAACATTTTTTCATATTCGGACTTGAGTCCGAATAAAAAAATTTCTTAGTCCGAATTATGAAAAAATGTTATTCGGACTCGGGTCTGGAAAAAAGGAAGTGTCTTCGTTCTATAGATCTAACGTTCAGTGCTTCCAATTTTCCGCCAGTTTCTAGTTTCCCCCACACCTTATCTGCCGATCCAATGCCCGCTGCCTCATTGATACGCCCCCCCCCCCCCCCCACGTTTCCCACTTTCTTTGTTGTAGAAAAAGGTAAAATTGAAGATTAGCAGACCACCTGGCCCCTACATATTATGAGCTGTGTAAAAAAAAAAAAAAGACCGATTCGTTGAAATACACAAGCGTGTGTGTCATATCGATTGTTTACCAAGAAAAATTGTGTTGCTGTATAGAGCTGAGCATACGGCAACTTTTGATTCCATAGACCAGCGCACAATTCATTACGTAGATCTACGTCAAGACTAGCTTATTATTGTAATAATGATCAGTTGCCGGGGCGAAAAAGACTGACGCGTATGGGACGTTCAAAGCCCGGATCGATAGTGCCCCCACCACCCTCCCCGACACGCACACAGCCACACGTGTGCAGGCTGCCCATCCGACCCCGACACACGCTAACGAGCCATCTTTAATTGCTTCTGATGACCTCTTGACAAATAAACATTTATTAGAAGCGCTCTAACTTTTCAGGCCAGCCTCAAATTCATCATAAGATTAAAACTCGGCTCCTGCACAAAACACCTTTTTGCCCGAAGTGATCCCGGTCTCTACCCAGCCTGAGGCGAGTCACGAGTGAGGCAGGACAGGAAGCCGGATTCACGAGTCACAGGAAGTCGGAAGTGATGTCATGCTGGACAAGAATCAGAGTCCGAATAACATTTTTTCATATTCGGACTCGAGTCCGAATAATCACTTCGTAAAAGAAATTGTGTTCAATTGTTTCTGTTTTCAGTTGGTCCAACAGTGATCCATTGAGATGCAACCATTGATGACAAAATAAGACTGATACATTGCATTATCAGAGAGGCTAGGATAGCACTTAAGAAGTGTGATATTTTGACCTCTACTTCCTGATTGAACCGGCAGCGCTTGATCCCACCATGTACAGGCTGGCCCTTTAGCTCCCCCTAAACACACTCCACCTCTCATTTATGCAAGATGAGAAATGTCCAAGACACAATATTTTTTTCCTGACTTCCTTGTTGATTCCTTCTTGGACAGGTTCAAATGTATGTGGGGCATAGTGATGAAATAGGTACATGATGTCAAAATAAGGAAATTGAAGAAACTGGCATTTCTCCGCCTGTTGGGCGTTATTTATTTATATTTTATTTTTGGCTCAGCACCTTTTATGCTGTTTGAAAAACACATTTGTGGATGGATTTTACTATTTTAAAAAAACTGTGATCAAAGGCAAAACATGTAAATTTGCAGTTTTCATGGATGCTCAAGCTTAGGAAGTTACCAAGATTTGGTGATGTAAGTAATGTTGCCTCTGAAAGTCTTGTGCATAGCACGAGCAGTAGTGTGGGGTCTTGCAAAAGTTATCTTTCTCTGAAAGTTCTGAGGCCTTGGAAAAAGGATCCCCTGAGGTATCAAGACTTGCGTGATATACAGTTCAGTAGAGTCACCATTCCTGTGCCTATGGGCGACGTTCTCTGGAAGGTGTACATAATAATATTTATGGGGAAAGGGAGGGAAACAACAAGGAACAAGATTGAAAAGAGTGGATGTTAGTGATATCAAAGCAATGGAAAGGGAGTTCTTGTTACTTGACCGTTTGTGACAAAATCAAGTTGATGAATACAAGTATTTTTAGAAATGCATCTAATTACAGCCTAGAATGCACATTGTGAACAGATTTTGAGGTCCAGAGTTTTAAAAAAATATTGTGTGTGCCTGGTGAAAGGTACCAAATGACTCTTTGTGAAGAATATCTTTTTTTTTCATTTTCATGTAAAAGCATCATTTCTGAATAATGTGCTTCTTGAAATTTTAAGATATCTTCAGTATTTTTTTGAGATATGGGTGATTTTGTAAGGCAGGGTACGAAAAAAGGTTTTGAGACAAACGGCCTTGAAGTTTCCCCTTTGTTTCTGCTTCATAGATAGATCTATCTATGCTTCGAGACGACCTGATAACACATTCGCTACTCACAAACCAACTTTAAAAAGCAGCTAAGATAAAAGAACATCTTCAAAATGTTTATATTATGCTTCAAAGCAAATTCTCCACCTCCTTGAGCAAGAATTTTCAAGAAATTAGATCTAAGTTTGCGCAGGGAAGAAATATATGCAATACTATTTGCTCTCCAAAAAAATGAAAGGGTGTGGATGCGCAAAGCTTCGCTTTTTTTACATGTTCTAGATATTCATATGCACTACACACCACTAGAGAGGGGAGAGAATGACCTAAATTTTGGTGTATGCATTGTGATTGGGTCGACTTTATGAATGAACAAGAGAAACCATCCGCAGTGTGTACTCGGAAAACCAATTTTCGCTCACATTTTTTGAGATTTTACAATATGCCTTGTGTTATAAAACATCTTAAAAAATGTACTTGGTAAAGTAAAAGAATCTCAAGTCCTTTGATCATATTAATGGCTTAAGACTCCATTTTTAATGGAACTTAGTTTTTGTCAGAAATTATATTTTTTGGCCTTTGATGCCTGATATCTCGTTTCGCACAAATGCATCTTTTGGTACCTTTCACCAGGGACGCTCATATATGTATATTTTGTAATTAAAATACATAATAACAAAATTTGTACAGAAAAAGATTCCTGCATCTCGCCAATTTCGCTTTGTACATGCTAGTCTGTAGCAATAGAACTTAATAAAACATCAATCATTTCTTTGATTCTTCTTTGGGCAAGTTAACTTAAGGTAACAGCTGGTAAAGCAAATATTTTTGCAGGGGATTTCCTCTTCCCATTTCCCTTTACTGTTTGCCTGTAGCTGTGATGCACTGATGTAAATGTGTCTTAGTTTTGTTTTCTTGAGTGGATAGATACATAAATGAGAGGAAGTTCTTTTTTACCCTACAGCTCTTCTATCATGATTTCTCTGTTTGGAAGCTGTGTATATAAATAACATGTTTCTGAGAAATATAAAAAATGCAACAGAAAACATTTTGAGCTAAATTAGATTGACTTGTTTCATTTGTTCTTATTATGTTTTGTTAAAGAATGCACAGTTCTATTCATAAAGTTTCAAATTCAGCTGGACGATGCTCCACCATAGCATGATGAATGATGATAGTGGAGGTCCTGGTACCTTTTTGCATTTGCACACTTTTTCATTTTTATATGAGAACTTCGAGGATGTTTAAGATTTATCTGAGCTAGAATGTAATGACATCTTCACGATGTCATGTACTTAAAACTATGTTTTTGTGAACAATGGCGGTACTATACCGAGTTGCAGCAAAAGTTCTGTCACACCCATTATATTACGATAATTTTCGGTATAGCGTAAGAATTGCAGTAAAAATTAAAAGTATGACTTGTAGGACTTATGAGACTTATTGTGCAAGAGCAAACCAAAGAAATCCTGAACCGGAAGTAGTACGTGGACAAAGTGTTGGTATTGATTTCTCTCGGTCTGTGTCGAAATTAACGCTTCCTACACACACAATTTGCTTTGAATCACGTAGACAATGTGTAAACACACTTTATACACTATAAAATTCCATACTTTTTAACGTTTGGGTACCTTTTTCTCCTGTTTTCAAAATTTAAAAAATTACAAATTGAGAAAATAAAGGGGCTGTGTGTATGATAAATTTTTTTAATGCGCTTTCTGCTGTTGCAAGACTCGTAAATGTTTGCAGAGGAAACATCTGACGCTTGAATTAACGTTTTAACACCACTAGAACTGTCCAAGACAAGCCGAGACATAGGCAACCAAGGGCGACAACTTGAATTCAGAATTGGGTTATTGTCAACACCCATGTTGAAAACCCATTCCAACTTAGTGCGGAGACTGCCAGGCTCTTCGGACTGTCTTGAAACACCATTATTAGACATAAGATCGTGGATTACATGATTATCGCCCTTTACGTGGAGCCATTTAACCCTGTTTCATAGAAGAAATCGCCAAATTTTTGGCACAACAACATTGCTGATGAAACTAAAGACATTGGTAAAGTGTTCTTTTTAGCAATGGTTCAGGATTTTAATTCGTCGCATTGATGGAGAGAAAAAGTGTTTAAAAGAAGAGAATAGAAATTTCACAAATCCAACGTCCCCCAAGAGGCCCGAAGGTGGCTGAAATGTGATGGTAAGGGGTGGAATCTCAGCTTTTTATCGCATACATTTAGTTACTTTTCAAAGCAATCTCAAATAACGACATTATTGTAACGAAATTCTACGTCACGGTGACTGCGCTACATGGCACTGATGATGGAATCTGCTAACAAGACAATGCCCAACCACAAATGGCTATGATCAATAAAAACTCCTTCCAAACACATCAAATCGTTGTTCTGGACTGGCCTACAAGATCAACAAGCCATAACCCAACAGAACATCTGTAAGATGACCTTGACTGGAGGATTAGAAACAGGCGCACTCCGTACAAACTGGTCAGGAACTGAAGGCTGCACTTCACAACGAATGGCAGGGGATTCTTCAGACAACCATAAGGACTTCAATTCAGTCAATGAACAGATGTTTTGTATCAGTAATTCAAGCTGGAAGAGGCCACACGCCATACTGAGCAAACTTTGATTTGGATTTTGCAAGAGTCAGTGTGAATAAAGTTATCTACCTTGAATAAGGAAAGACATTTGTCAATTCTTTTTATGTAATGTCGGCAGAAAATGAATAAAGATCACGTGTACCAAATTTCTCTTGGCTATGTTGAGTAGTGAATGAGTTATTGTACTTTTAAAGTAGGTGTGACAGAACTTTTGCAACTCAGTATATTTATATAGTATAGTAGACCTTCTCTGAGCTGACAAAATATTGGGTTACTCGACATTGTGATATCTTTTGTTGTTGTGTAGAATACAAACACTAAAAAGGCTTGATCATCCTAAAGTTTCGTTATTTTTTGCATTCACCAGCAATGATTGACCTTGGAAATGGCTACATTCTCAAGTCTCTCCAAAAGCCTCCCAGGGGAACTCGGGAGCTCGGTTTTTATCAGAAAGTTTTTGACGACGCCTGCAGCGATCCAGACCTGATTGAGCTGAAACCGTTCCTTGCTCCTTTTTATGGGGCAGAAAAAAAAAATGGAAGTTAGTATCTCATTTTCTTCCTCATCATCTTATTTCATATTCTAAGTTAGTGGCAACTTTTAATTGAGAAAATTCCTTGTTAGCAAATATTGTCAAAAACGTAAAAATCTTATCACTATGAACACAAGCTGGGCTGAAATGTGGTGTTAGCACTGCTTTACATTTGAAAACTGATTTTAGTGCTATAAAATAATGTTTACTCTTTCAAAATGAACACTATGATTTTACTTTATAAATCACTTTCATCTTCATAATATTGTTATTTTAGGTATGCAGAAACTCCTGGCTCTCTATTTTCGAAACGAACAATATGATTTTTGTGAAACACTTTATTTTCCTGAGCAAATGAAAGATAATTGCTTACTAATGATATGTACATACTTACCTGTTTTGTACAGTGGAAGGGTCAGACATGATATTGAATTTCTTTGCAGAATATCTTTTGTTTCTTTCATTCCTGTTATAATATTTTTGACGTAGTTGCCTTGTGCATACTCTCCGGTTTCTTTTTATCTGTCAGCTACATTTTTGAAACTGAAGAATCTTACAAGTCAGTTCCACCGACCTTGTGTTACTGATATAAAGATTGGGAAGGTGACCTATGATCAAGAAGCCACTGCGGAGAAAAGAAGTCATGAGGCTGCCAAATATCCTCCCATGAAGCAGTTGGGATTTCGTTTTAGTGGTATGAGGGTAAGTTATTCTTGAATACACAATCTTGACCATTTAGCTTGTGGAAATTTGTCCTGATACATGCCCTGAAAGCCTGGAAAAGGGAGATAATCCTCTAAAACTATTGCACATTGTGTCATGACGTGGTGGAATCAGGCGCTCGTCAATTTTTAGGCCTGTGGAGTATTTGGTACCATCTTAAAGCTTGTTCATTTGTCTTGCTATCAATGATAATATCATCCATCTATCTTGAATAGAAGTAGAGATATTTGGGATTAAAGGAAGTAGGAGTCTCTAAGTTTCAGAGATAAACTTAGTGAGAAAATGGACACCAAAGTTTAGGGACTTCCATAGTTTGAGAGTCCTTAGAAACTGCAAATTTACCCTTCTTTTTTGTGCCTTTGATCAACCTTTTTCATTAAAATACTCACTTAAATGTGTTTTTAAATGGAGGTGATAGGTGTTGAGTCAAAACAAGAATATGCAACAAAAAAAAAAAAGAAATGCGCAACAGCCTTAAAAATGCAAATTTCTTTAATTTAATTATTTTGTCAGGTGTCTGATTTCACCACGATGCATAATATATGTTTTCAAAAAATTTATTGAAAAAAAATCTTTACGAAATGATCAGTAAACAATGCAACTATGTTAGGAAAAAAACTCTGCTTTCAACAAGATAGTTTCTGCTGCTATACTGTATGAGCGAGTTCTTTGTCTCTCCTGTTATAGTTGTGTTGTGACTGTTGGGTTTTCTTTCGTTACCTATCTATTTCATCAAATTTTAAAATAACCAATTTCTTTAGGGACTTAAAAATATTATATTGACGAGGACCGGAAAGTGAACTTTGTATTAATCTTTGTTTGGTCGAAATCACTTATCGAGCTGAATTTTTATGTATTATCAAAGTTTCCTTGGATTTTCCAAAGTTTCAACACCATCACACCCTCCATTTCATCATATTTACTTTAAAATTCACACACGCACTATTTGTGGGTCAGTTTCAACCATTCAAAAACTCAAAGAAAGAAGAACAACTATACTTTTGCTTTATAACCTTGTTTTCAGTCAGTTCAAATTTGACATTCTTCCTAGACCTCATAGAAATGCATATATCATGACAGTGTCATGTGTTTGACAATTGAAACGCTGCGCATTGCCACTCTAGGTGCGAATGGATAGACTCCGTGCAGAGCCGCTCTAGGTGCTAAATGGTTAAGTATTATTTTTGCTCTGAATTAACTAGATAGTCAAGTTTGCAAATGAAAATATAACATTGTTTTGGTTGAATAATTTATATAGCAACAATATTTAATCCAAGAGATGAAAAAGCACAGACATGTCTGTTCACTCTTTGCAGAAGGAGTGAATAATTCAAAATGGAGATATTAATTTTTTTAAAGTGCCATAGTAAAAATTGGAAGTTAAACTTTTTCTTTTTGTTTGCTGCTAAGGTGGTTTTATCTATTTTGTCATTTTCGTAGGACTGACGTTTATTGTCCTCGTCAGAATAACCTTTAGCATTTTGACAGGGTGAAGGTAGGATTTTGCTTTTGCAGTAGCTTTATAAATTTGAGATGGTTTGACTTACCTGCATTGATTCATCATAGATGATGTGCCCCTAAAATGTACAGCGATCTTTTGATGTTTGAAGTCCAATTTTTTAAAAATTAGTTACTTGTAGAATGGTTTTCTTTTTGTGAGTCTCGATAATATTCTGGTGGGATTGGGTTGGCCTCTTACTTTTTGCTGTTGGTTAGGTCTGTCCAATTGTCTCATTATCTTGGTACTGATTATTGATAGAAAGATGCTACCTTGGTTTTTGCTCTGACAGGTCTTTGACCCGAAGACTCAAAGCAACCAACAGTATGAGAATGACTACTGTCTGACGTTGACGGAGAGTAATATGGTCACAGAGGGTAAGAATTTGTTGTTTTGAAATAAATGGCTCTTAGCAATAAATAATAGGAAAAAAGAGGCCACATGAGCAGACAATAATATGTTCTGAGATGTTTAGTAAATATTATTTCCTTAAATTTATGTCCTGGGAGCATTGCTTGAAGTTTTTGTGTATTTGCCTTCAATTATACTCAGATATAAATGTGACAAACGATGTAAGTTAAAAATAATTTTTTGAGGGAAAACTGGGAGTATCAAGTATGCCAGAAAATTTGATAAATATGAATTTTGTGCCAATGTCTTATTTTGTAATTTTTGCTTGGTGAAATGCACAATGTGAACTAAATTTGACCTTTTATCTACCTATGGTTTGCAACTATTACCATTGATATTTTCTATAGCTCAAATTCTGCCTCTTTGTTTCCTTTGGTAATGTGATAGATTTCACTCCTACAAGTGATGTTTGCCTATATTGTATTTGTGCAATGAACAACCTTTTACTGGTGGAAACCGTCATGTCTGAATAGCTTCTTTATTTTCTGTGATTTCTTGTATTGTCTCATTTCCTGAAAGATAAGCAAATTCTTATTTTCTTTTGAAAGTTAACAGTGCCTTATTTTTTTCCTCACTGTTACCACTTCATGGTTGCTTTTTGCTTACCAAAGAAGTATGTGGAGAAGTGAAACAAACTGCGGGGCGTCTATAGTCTAACAGTAGCAATGTCAAAAGTCTATAGCATGCACATTATGGTAATAATCTTTAAATCTTTGAAATATACATCTGGGTGCAGATAACAGTGACACTCAAAACTTGAAATCTCGGATACCTCTTACGATATGCCATTCTGTGACTGAGCTGCTATATTTTCTTTGTATTGGCAACACTGTTTTCTTAAACACCGAAACAGATGTGTAGAACAGCTTTGCTTGAAAATCCTGATCAAATTTTTCCTCTCAACTGTCTGGAATTGAAATCACTTTCATACACATTAGAAACTAAGACTCCCATGCTTGCCCCCGCACAACAGACACACATTGCTGGTATCAAAACACATCATTGCTCATTACCTGTAATTTGCATAAGGTGCAAGAGTTTCCTTGGATCTAGTCATGTGAGGGTGGATGCTTGGTGGTGGTGTGTGATTGAAAACAGACAGTTTGGTCATCATCATCTTCTGCCTGGTTCCCTCGGAGCTTCTCGTCGTAAATCATTATGCTCATTCAATAACAGCTGAAGTCATTTTTGGAGCAAACTGAGCAATGGCCACATCTAGATAACTTGATTACTTCCTCAGATTTGTGTCAAAAGTTGTTATAAACTCTAAATTTAATGAAACCATAAATAATATTTAAAAAAAAAAGAAAAATATGTGCATTGTGTCTGTCTTGTAAGTTTAGCAGTTTTTGTTGTATTTCTCAAAACGTGAAAAATGAACTAGGCAATTATCGAATTAGCATGATGAAATTATGTTTTGTTTGTGTACATATGTGTGTATGTGTGCTTATTTGAATGTGAAGATATGGATGGGGAAGTGATTACACAGATTGCACAAGAGGGGTGAGTAGCAGGCTATGATCAGTTTGGCTATATCATAACAATCATGATCTGATGTAAGAGCAAATTTAATTTAGTCATAAAGATGATAAAGTTCATCAACCACACTCTCTGGCTCTTCCTTTTCTTGCTTCAATAGTGAACAAGGCATAAACACCATCCATCCTTCCACTTCTCTCCTTTTATTTTAACCAGGAACTTTTCATGATGGCAGAGGACAGAATACTTTTAAATTGTCGGATGTTAAAAATAATAAGCATAATATTTTAGCAGATGTTGACTAGAAGAACTGCAATAAGATGGAAGTTTATAAGACATTTGGCTTTCCCAAATCTATGCTTTCCAAGTTTCTAAGAAAATCTAAAATGCCAGCTTTGGGTGTCAACCCAACAGGAAGTTAGCACACTTTGCCAAATTTGTTTCAGTGATTCCAGTTAGTACTTGCCATGTATTTTCCTGTCTCTGATCACATTCCGATGACAAAAGCAGACAAAATGACCTCCCAAAAAAACTTTCTTTGACTTCACATGCAATACAAGATTGTTGGATAGGTTCAATAAGTGACGCAGCATTACTCAAACAACTGTGTGTAGGGGATCTGCTGCAGTAAATCCGTTACACAGTTATTTATTTCTAGACCATTTTACCGTTACTGTTATTTTCCTTGATTTTCTTCAATATCTCTCTAATTTTTCCATTTTATCTGTTTATCTGAATAATGGATGTGATATTGGAGTTATCCATGCCCTACTGTATTTTGTTTGTGGACATACTCATATTATGCATACTTTCACTCTTTCACAAGTTACCGAAAATATTTATTCTTCAGACTGTCATTTAGTTTGAAATCTATTTTCAGGACTGGGACGATTTTTTGGACTTCAGAATGGCAATCTGAGACGAGATGCAATCAGGCCTGTGCTTAGCAAACTGAAACGACTCGAGTCATGGTTCTTGAAGCAGAAAAAGTTTTCATTCATCGCCAGCTCATTGCTCATTGTTTATGAAGGCCTCAGACTTGACCAAGTTAAAGTTGACAGGGCCTCATCTTCAGAACAGGACTGTTCTCCAGTTCTTGAAGACACTGGAAAGAATGAGAAAAAGAGCAAATGTGGAAACGGAAAAAATCTGGACAGTGACTTGAGTATTAACAGGACAGCTGAAGAAACAGAAGCTCATTCTTCAGTCACCAATGAGGAGAAAAGCTCAATAAAACGTTTTATTGACCACACAGATGCAGAAAGTGAACCTCGCTCAAAGAAATTAAAGCTTTCAACTTCAGATGTGAAAGGCAATGGGTCCCATGGACCCCACAACAGTTGTTTACAAGAGCAGTCAGACAGCTTGAACCCGGGGATGAGTAATTCTCAAAGAGTTGCTGATGTGTGCTTGATAGATTTTGCTCATGTCTTTCCTGCAAAAAAAATTGATGAAAATTTTTTATTTGGGTTGCAGAACTTGATTAATTCTTTGGAAACATTAGTAACTATGGAGACAATTAAACATTCAATGAAATAGATCTTTGGGTGTGAAATTATGATAAAGTGTAGTTAAATACGTTATGTCTTTTAAATTTTCTCTTTGTCTTATTAACTTTTCCTAAACCAAAGAAATCGTTTTTCTCTTTTTTTCTCACGCATAAAAATGGCATGATTTGAATGAATCGTTAGGCTATTATTCAATTGACTATTTTTTAACCTGATGGACTTGGTTAGTCAGTTATAGATCAGAAATGCAGCCTTTGTTGAATGACTGGGTAGCTTTCGTGGTCGTCACCTCAATTTTCCTTCAAGCAGCTAGTCATTACTTCACCTTCAAATAATCCCTGAAGTCATCACTGGCGTATACTTTAATCGTCTTGTAAAACTTATATCCAGTGTATAGTCATCAATAGAAACTTCATCCTTATTTATGTTACCTTTAAATATTGTTAATAATATTATAACTGTAACAGCATAATTTTTCTGAGAATGTGTTCCTTGCTCTCTTTATGTACATGAGACATTTTAGTCTTATGAAAAAAATTTGTTTTACTACATTTGAATAAGAAATGTGTATACGTAATTTATGTCATAGTTTGAACTGTGAAAAGTTTTGTATATATAAACTGTAATTTGGTTTCAGGAAATTTATAAATATTTGTCTTTGTAGACAAATGAGTTACTTTGATTATTTTCAGACTGATCTGACTTGGAGATAATTAGAATTCAAATGAAATAGATTTATGACAAATGAGGGTTAAAATGAGTTATTATCTGTGATCACAAAGGGAATGTTATGCAAAATTTAAACTACTTCTTCAGGATAGTACCTTGATGTTCTGGAATTTGTCATGATTTTTTTGTTTTTGTCTTTATTGGTGAATTAGATTCTGAATCTTTATACGGTTTGGGTGTTTTATGTAGTCGCTGATTGTATGTTGGAATACCTTGTCTTGCCTTGCTCTTAATCTTAATCAGTACCTATGTGCCTATGTCTTTGAAGAAGCTTTGTACATTAGAGTATTTTACTGTGCTTTCCGAATTTTTCTATTCGCTTTATTGTTCTTCTATACTTTGCAGTAGGGCATGAAAATAAAAGTCGTCATCGTTTTTTTTTCACCACTTTCTGTGGCCCATGAGAATTGATAAAGTCAGTGCTTATTATAGTATCGGAATACAGTCCTCTCGTTACACTGACTGAAAGAATTCTAACTACGCTCTGTTGTATTCAAAATATCTACTGAATGGGATTCAGCGTTTACATTTGTTAAAAACAGTCCTCTTGAAATACTGTTTTTGAAGTCTTAAGGTAAGTAAAGGTGTTATTGTGAATGTATGTTTCAGTCATTTTGCTTGTGGATCACTTCTGATTGTGACTTACAATCCGTGTTTGCTACATTTACAGACATAAGAGGTCTGAGTAGTCTGTGAATATTTTGTTGAGAACAGGTCTCTGAATTGGCCTGAAGCACTGTATTCTAACTGTTGCAATTGTGTGATAGTATTTGGGCCTCCACAAATAATTACTCTGTTCATTCCCATAAATTTGGTTTGCCTCTATGAAATGTGTCATCAGGCTGTGGAATCAGGCGCTCGTCAGTTTTTGGGTATGTTGTGTTATAGGCATCATCTTAGAGTTTGTTGGTTTGTCGATCTTTCAATGAAAAAACGACCCATCTATCATGAATAAAATTCCAGATATTTTGAGATTCAAAGAGATGGGGGTGGCCTGTTTTCAGAGATATAATTAGCGGCTACTTTCATAGCTTGAGAGTCCTTGGAAACAAAACATTAACATTTTTTTTGCCTTTTAATCAATGTGTTTTAGTCAAATCCACACAGAAATGTATTTTAAATGGACATAAGAGGTGTTTAGCCCAAAAACAAAATTTCAATGAAAATCGCCAAACTGGTGGAAAAATGTCAATATTTTTTATTTCATTATTTTGACAAGCGCCTGATTTTACCACGATGCCTAACAAATTGTTTTAATCATATTAAATGTGCTTTAGCTTAGTAAAATAAACACATGTTGTTCATTAAAAAAAGAAAATTGATAATGCTTTTCATCCAATTTAACATCAGAATGAACAATTAATTTTCTGTCTGGTATAAGTGAGGTATGTGGTCAGTCTTGCAGATCATACATCCTCATTCTTTTTTCCAGTTAAGACATGTGAATGCCGAAATGCTGCCATTTCAGTAACCAGTTTTGATTAGGTAAATGGGTGTTGTTATCTAGTCATATGCTGCTGGGATTGGTATTTTGTTTATTATTTTCTTCTCAATATTTAATACATGTCTTGGATGCCTTGTTTACTGGCATATGGTGATGAAAATATTCCAATATGTCAAAAATATCCAGGGCTTCTTAAAGCTGTTTGATTAAATGAAAAGAATTCTGTACTTATATATCCAGTTTTACCTGTCATAAATGTCTCACAACTGTGTCAGTATGGATTAGATCTTCTAGGAGGTCAGCTGGTGAACACGGCAATTTGGGGTACATCTCGTCAGAGAGACAGAGATACTTGATAGAATATCTTCTCCACATGATGACTGAACTCCCAATCATTGTGTGCAAGGGGAAGAACCTAACCATTTGTATGAGATGCCAGCGGAACCATTTTGGATATGGTCTCGTAACTCAAAATTAATAGAAATCAATGATCAATGATTTGGTATGCTGAATTTATGCATTGATGGTTGCACTTGATCTTGTTCATATTTCCTTATCAACAATATATTTGATTTTCCTTGCTTGTTTGGTCGTAGAATTTATATTGGACCTGTCAAATACAAAAATACTTCTGCTGTAAACTGAAAATTGAAATGCTCAAAAAATGTGATGGAACATTTTTTTCAAAGAGCTGGTAATGTTCAAGAATGTGAAGCTTTTAATTCAGTGCAAACTACTGAGTAAAGTAAGCCTGCTGAAAAAATAGTGGTGTTCGTACCATACTTGTGAGGCTCATTTTTAAGCTCTATTCTGTAACTGTTAAGCCTTCATACAAATGTACGGATATGTAGATTTGCAAAAATACAGTTGAACTTAATTTAACAACCCCCTGTCCAAGACAATCACCTGTACAAACGACCACCCTTGCTTCCCCCTTTATACACCTTTTCTATATTATACTGACACTGTTGAAGAGGACATCCTGTATAAGATTACCATTTTTCTTAGACACAATGGGGGAGTCGTGTTGGGCAGGGTCGACTGTACTTGTGTAAAGGAAGAGACAGTTTGGCAAGATTGTTTATCTCATCTGTTAACTTTTTATCATCCTCACTGTTTTAGCAATTATTAGTACATATCCCGCCGTGTAACTACCGGATGCTCTTGTCTCTTCACCTGTCCTGTACCCTGGTACAGTCTTCACCTGCCCTGTACCCTGGTGCAGTCTTCACCTGTCCTGTACCCTGGTGCTGTCTTCCCTTGTCCTGTACCCTGGTGCAGTTTTCCCTTGTCCTGTGCCCTGGTGCAATCTTCACTTGTCCTGTACCCTGGTGCTGTCTTCACTTGTCCTGTACCCTTATACCCTGGTGTAGAGAGGGACAGCAATGGATAGCTAGACAGTCTCTTTCTCTGGGGTTCACAGGATGGTTCTCTTGACCTGTTTTATGTTTGTCAATCAATGACAAAACTTTTGCATTGACCTAGTCCTCCTTCTAGTGAGTTTATACACTTATCGACCCATGATGACATTATGTGTGACAGATGCTGCGAATAAACTTAAATTATGCAGCCAACCAAATGGATGCAGTGGCACCTTTTATGTAAAAGCAACAGGCACTGGTGTTGTTCACAGGGGAATGTTTTAAGTTAATGCCTGCCTGTTCCTGTGTTCTTTTTTAGATTGTCTTGGTGAGTTCTCCTATTCAGCAGACGTAACCATATATCTTATCAGTGTGGTAAATAGGTCTTTGTAGGGCTTGATGGCTTTTTCAGTGGTGATATGATTATTTCATTTGAATACGAAACTTTTGAAAAGATCTCATTGTTGTATATAACCTCTGTCCTCTTTTCCATTCATCAGCAGACGCAGTCCATGATTTTCAAGCTATGAGAATATGAGAATAGAGAATATTGAGAGGAAAAGGAAGCTCAGAATTGTGTCTCTTAAACTGTTGTACCAAGATACGGGTCTCCGGATAAAGTCCATGTGACTTTTTGTCAAACCCAGAATATCACTTAGGTAAAATAAAGAGAGTTGGTACTTTATCAGCGGTGTTGGAGCTTTTTCCTATTATTTAAGGCAGGAATGTAATTGATGTTACGCAATAGGAAAGTTATAAGAAACAGAATGCTATTACAGTGTAAGCAAGTCCTATATTGTAAAAAAAAAAAAGAAGTTTTTGTACTGATATGTTTTACACTGATTTAATTTGTACTGGTAAACAACATTAAGAAAACATACTGTTTGTTTCATTTTATGAAAGTACTTTTAATCAAACTGTTAGCTTAACATAATTTTGAGAGACATGGGTCTTTCTGGAATAGATGTACCATTTATATGAGTTATCCTAGCTTTAAAAATTCATTTTTCACAAACGAGTCCACCAGACTGACTCTTCCTAAATACAATGGCTGCAACATATCATATCGCTTTAATATATTTTTTGTCTTAAGAGATATATCATGCTAAGATTGTCTTTTATTTTATCCCACCAACCTTTTTCTGCTGCAATGATGTTAGTGTTACCAGTGAAGACTGTATTCTCTTATTTGTAGTATTCATTTTTTTGTTCTTTGGAGTTTCTGAAAGAAAACGAGAAGAAATTTACTTTTAATTGCAAAGAACAAAGTTTATTGAAGTCCTTGTCCAACTTATCTCTTTTTGACAGCATCTGTGACTTCAAGTAACCTTCTGATAGTATATTATTATGTTTCATTGCTGGGTATGAGTGGCTGGAGAGTATAAGTGCCTACATCGTTGCTCGAACTCTCTTGTTTCTGTATCTGGCTGTCTCATTTTTGATTGATCATTATCATGTAGAAGTGCTATTCTTTGCCTTGTACAAAGTACAGAAAAAATAGCTCAATTTTGAATTTGGGATTCAATTGTACATAAATTACTAGGACACACCCAGGCACAAACATATCACTCATATATATTATGTATATATATATTTACTCTCTCTCTCTCTCTCTCACTCTCGCTCTCATTCTCTCACTCTCTGTTTCACACACATACGGACAAACACACATACATACACATGCACACACACACTCACTCACACACACACACTCTCTCACACACCCGCACACACACACACATCCACTAGCCACACAAAAACACTCATACGCACATACACTCTCACACATGCATACATACACATATGCACACACATACACACACACACACACACACACACACACACACACACACACACACACACACACACACACACACACACACATGCACACACTTGCACACTTGTGTAGTTTGATGAATATTTTTGTGTGTATGTGGTATGTGCTCATATATATGTGTATTCTATCACTTTAACATCACTGATATCATATAAAATTGACTTGCAACCAGTCAAAATCTGCCTTAGGAAGGTGATAGTATGGGTTTTGAGTTTCACATAGAAGTTTAGGTTTTTGACCAGTGCTTATATGGCATATTATAAATTTTCCAACAGAGATGTGATTGTAGTGTGAGTAAATTGGTGGGAATTGTAAACTTCTCAAAATTCTACTTTTTCCTGCAAAATGTAGGCTACCGACTTATTCAGGATGACTTACCTTGTCCTCATTTTTACTGGCTGCAAGATCCAATGAATGTTGCTTATTCAAGTATTATTATGATGTTTTTCTTTGAATACACTCTTTTCAAGTGAAGTGCATGGCTGCTGAATTCAGCTGTAATCTGTCAATGAATTGTACTTTTTAATACTCTGATGAAATGTGTTTTCTCTTAAAATTCAGTTGTATGTAAATAATGAATTATAGTTCTTGATACTCTATTGCAATAATAATATATTCACCTACAAAGTGCTGCATTTATCTTTAACGATATAGGAACCTGTAAAAGTATTTATCCAAAATGTTTTTTTGAAATAAAACTGACTGTTTGATGATTTTGATTCTATGGATTGGTTCTTTTAAAGAATTTATATATACATATATGTGTCAAGACGCGGTGGAATCAGGCGCTCGTCAATTTTTGGGCATGTGGAGTTATTGGTACCAATTGAAGGCTGATTTATTTGCCTTGCTTCCAGTGAAATAAATATCCATTTATCTTGAACAAACCTCAAGATATTTGCGATTGAAGAAAGTGAGGACCCCTGGTTTCAGTGGTGAAATTAGAGAGAAAATGGCTGCCAAAGCTTGGTAACTCCAATAAGTAAAGAGTCCTTGGAAACAGAAAAATGACATATTTTGTGTCTTTAATCAATGTTTTTCTGTAAAATTCACATGGAAGTGTGTTTTTATATAGATTTTATATGGACATAAAGAGGTTGAGCCAAAAAATAAACAAATTCGATATAAAGTTCCAAACTTGGTGAAAAATGCCTGTTTCTCCGATTTCTGTATTTTGACGAGCTCCTCATTTCACCATGCTGCCTCACTTATATTGCTGTGGTTATAATTATTAATATGTGACATGACTTGGTCGAATCAGGGACTTGGTCGAATCAGGTGTTTGTCGATTTTTGTGCATGCAAAGTTAGCTGTATAATCTTAAAGTTTATTTATTGGCCTTGCTTTTTACGAAAAAACAAATTTGAATAGAAGTCAAGATATTTGCAATTAAAGGAGGTGGGGGTCACCTGGTATTGGA